GATTTGAATATTCATCCTTCCTGACCCTGTTATTGAGAGAACTTCACTGTTACATGAAGTTCTGTCAAAATCATTAAATATTGTACATCTTTGCCAGGTGAGAGATAGGTAACCCCCACCTAATCACAGCATGAAGTGTTCACTCATTTATTTAGTTTTATACTATGAAGACTGTTACCCACCACAGAAAAACTGGTGGAACAAAATTATAATTAATTAAATACTTATTAAGGTGAAATGTCTCAGTATTTACAATGAATATTTTAACCTACAAAATGAAACAATGAAGAAAACCCAATAACTAGGGTCATGATTACTTTCAAAGTTTAATGCCAAAATAAGTATATGAATTATTTTATATTGGACAAACCTAAATACATACAGAGTTAAAATTTTAAATATTTCACAAGCCAACATATCAAGCTGAATTCATAATTACAAAGCCCATGTGAATATCCCAACTAAATGGTTGGGATAGTCCATGTATAAATGTAGAGTTCTAGAACAAGAGATATATGATCACATTAAATAAATGTTAAACTTTTGTAAACATAAACCTTATTAAGCCAAAAATACTTAATATATATCAGTTATAATTAGATAGAATATATTTTATCTAGACAAATAAGTAATACTTTCATAAAATAAATATTTTCAGTAGTAACTGAAAATATTCTATAAATTTGAAAAAGAAGTTACACTCAAATTCAATTAATCTAAATACAAACAACATGTTAACATCGAGTGTAAATGTAAGGCTGAACAATAATGAGAATGCTAATTTAAGCTTGAAGGTTTCTGCCAAATCTAGAAAGTGTTTATTCAGAAAATACATGAATAGAAACGCAGAATTTTTTAAACTGTTAGCCTTTAGACCAACTTCATACTAGACTATTTGCCAATTAAATGAAGAAACAGTAAAAATATGAATGCAGATGACAAACCAGATTTATTTTTCTTGCACATAGTAGATTAATCTGTGACTAGTCCAGTGCTATCCACAAGTAAATGGACAGTAAACAAACATTAAATAAATTTGGTAAAATTTCCAAATATGACCCTCAACTATATTCATCCATAATGACAGTTCAAAATAGTATTTTGAAACATTAATCTTAACAATAGCAGCAAGATTATATAGCTCTTAGAAGTCTCATCTATCTTATTTTATTGTGACATTTATTGATTTGTACTCAGTCCTTAAAAGCCAGTGAATGTACATATTTTTTTCTTGATAGAATCAGATTCCTGTGGTAATGATTGTATCCCAAACTTTGTATCAAAGCAATTCCATTCAAAATTACAATGGACTTCAGGAAAGTCTGTAATATTTCTAAATATTTTAAATGAACATTGAACTTTTAAATATTAAATTGAGGATGAAAACCCTTGTGATAGACCTAAGTATAAGAGACATGCTTGATAAATACTATTAGCTTAGAAACCAAGCCACCCAAGTGTAGGGTGATTAGCTTTCCTGGGATTTCCCACAAAAAAAGTAGGAAGGTTTTGAAAGGAAATATTTGGCAAATCTACAGATTACTTCCTTTAGGCCTTCCTTCATGGATCCAATATTTTGTTAAAATATATCCTCAGTGATGATCAGCAATTCAGGTCATTGACACATGACTAAAGCGCATTTATTAATTCAGTTTTTTGCACCATAGTCCATGCAAAATTCAAAATTCTGCTAACAGAAATCCACACCTCATGAATCCAAATTATGCTTAAATTAGGCAAGGCAAAAAAAAAATCTGAAAAACCATGAAAGAGAATATCTTTCATTTGCATGATAGCAAATGAGAGTTCATTTCCTCCCAAACACCTGCTATGAAAGAGTCTAACCTATGACAAGGACATAGAATATATGCATAGGAGCTATTTTGAGCCACTATGGGAATAACAACGGTTTGCATAAAAATACCAGTGAATTCATCTTCACATTTGGTACTTTTGTAATGTATTGGTCATAGAACTGGAAAGAAAACAGTAAGTCTAGTGCACGTATTGTAAGACTTTAGTGAGGTTATAAGTCACAACCACCGGCTTTAGACTTGCTTTTTTTCTTTTTGCAGGCTCGATGAGTTTACTATCAAACAGTGCAAGTGTGAGAATTTTATTTTGAAGATGTTGCTGAGGTCTTCATAGGATGGTGCACACCTTGGTAAAATCAAAATATGTCTTTTCTTGTGATCAAATTCTCACTCCCTGCTATGTGCAGTATTCATTGGCTCTGAGAAAGGTAATATACAAATATTCAAATGTGCCCAGCTGAGCTTTATAAAATAGGTGAATAAGAATTATTTATTTTATTGTCTGGGGAGTAACCAAGTACTTTTGCTTTTGAGTGCCTATTAGCTTTAGCACATTTATTTGCTCAAGAAAGTTAATCACCCCAAAATAATATTTTACTACCCGAAGAGGAGAAATGATACTGTGAGAAATGATGCTGATTTTGTTTTGCTATCTTACAAGGAAAAAAGATAAATGGACTCTGAGGAATGAACATGAAGGGAGATGACTTGGAAGACTAAATTTAGGAATATCATAAACCTTTCAAATATGGCTGTGCTCATTTGGATCAACCTAATACCCTTTAGTACATCCCTAATCACTTCTCCACTGTTAATGTCCTCTTTTTATAAACATTAGGAAAGTGAAGCTCCATGACAAATAATCTCCACATCCCAGAAGGCTCTGCAAAGAGTGATCTCCTTTCTCTTATTAATTTCTGTATTCTGTCTTTATCCCCTTCACATAGGAGTTCTAGTAGGTTGCTGTATGAACATGATGCTTGCTTTATGAGAATATTGGCTCCCTCTATCCCTTAGGCCATGAATTCGTCTTGATTTGAGGGAAAAAGAAGCTAAAACCAGATTTTCTGTCAGATGCATGGCAGGTGAGATTTTGGCTGAAAGAACTGAAAATTTCGAATGCATTTTGCACTAGGTATATTATTTGGCTTCAAACAGAAATAGGCTCTAAAGCTGTCCATTTCTCTGATATTTAAGGATTACTTTAAAAACTTAAGAGATCTACAAAATCCACCTTAAGACGGACCTGAGTCAGATCTGTAAGGTGAAGCTGTCATTCAGCAACTCCCACTCCATGCAGTGGATCACAGGGTCTCTTCGGGTCTTCAGCTGTTTTAGAGTCAGTTCAGGCTCCAGTCTTGAAGGTTCCAGGGAGCATAGATATGTGATCTTTCCTGTGGGCCATATTTTATGGTAAATGGTAACAGTCTTAAGGAAACACGACATGAACCCATCCTGAATATTTCTGAGGTGAATTTTTGAGATCCTTTATCAAGGAGACTTAGACTTCCCTCAGAAATCAGACCATGGTCCTCTGAATTGACTTGGTGCTAAGAGCTGGGTGAGAGACTTGGACCTCCCATATCAAAGGCTAAGCCAGGAATCAGCTTTTCAGATCACTTTCCTGTGGCTTAGTGTATTTTCAGAATCCAGAGCCTTTCAACTGCTGTTTTATGAATTCATTTCATAAGGCTGTTGCTCCCACCTCTTCCCTGAATCTGATCTCTGCAGCGGCACTGGTGAATCTCTTCTGTCCATGCTCAGTCTTCATCTTACAGGACCTGAAAGCTGGTTGTCCAAACTGATTCAGCACCTATCTGTCTCCCATTAGAAACACATTTTTCCTTCAAATATGAAACATATATTTACAAACCACTCTACTAAAAGTCAAGCAGAAGAAAGCAGCTTCAGTAATACTGCTTGAACTCCTAAATAATGGAGACCTATAGCTCAATCAAGTTGGGGGTAAAATAATAATATATATGTGTATTAATAGACTGATAGGCAATGGTTTAACATTATGGAGGATAATGGCTGACTGACCCGATCTGATGTTTGCATTTGGTATGGTAAGAACACAAAACTTGTCAAAAATAAAAATATTAAAATGTATTAAAATGAAACATACTCTCTTTTCTAAATATACCTGAATGAAATATTGATCCTGAAATACAAAATGACACTACACTCCTCCCTGAGAAACTCCTTATTTTACTTTCTGGATTTAACTGTGGGGAATTATCCTTGGTGTCATCCTCACCTTTCTAGATGAACCTGTCTTTCCCTAAGAAATGTTAGAAGGGGCCGTGGTAGGTTGTAGGAGGAGCTCCTTGTGGGTGAGTGTGGACCTCTTTGGCCACCCACAATCCATTTTTCTAAAATCCTTAGAAGTTCCAGTACCGGCACCCATTCCATACAGCCCCGTCCCACAGAGCCACACCTGATGGTCCTTTGCATTTCTGTGTTTTCGTTCCAGATCACATCTGTGCCTCTGCCTCTGCAGTGAGGGTAAGTGTGTGTCTCTATTCTTATGAGTGTTATCCTTAAAATTTTCCCATAGAGGCATGATTTACTTTCTTACTATGTTTCTCTCCTAAATCCATGGCATTTGTGAAATTTTCAAGTTGAATTTCTTTCCTCAGTCTTGTTTCTGAGAAATGAAAGTAGGGTCAGCCCCTCACAGGGAATATCCCCTGTCTTTCTTGGTCATCTCTAAAGTTTCTTCTACATGTTTTTCTCCTCTCTTGGGTGGATATTGCTGCATTTGTCTTTGTTCCCTGACCTACTCATTAGCTATTGAAGAAGATTTCTCAATATATTCATCTAACTGCAGTGTATATGTGATTCCTGAAAATTTATAACATATGCCCTTTCAAAACTTGCATATATGATATCTGGAAAGCATCAAGGTTTACCAAAAGTTGGTCCACAGTTTTTTGCATAAAAATCTTGCATAGTCCTCCTAGACAGAATAGGGGAGTTTCCTCCAGCTACTGTGTGTTTTATAGACTAGCCTGGAGTCTTTTGGAGTCGGTAATAAGGGAAATACTGTTTGTCATATGTTAACATAAGAATAAAGATAGATTCATTGACTGATTGATTGATGCTATTCTTGTTCATTTTGCCTTTTATGCATATTTCATTCTAGCAGTAACAGTGGAAATTCAAGCAATCGTCTTACACACAATGAATGGTACTGTACAGAGCACATTTGCAATCATAACTTTTGTGGAAATTATTGTTGGATATTTAGGAAATGGATTCATAGCACTGGTGAACTTTATGGACTGGGTTAAGAGAAGAAGGATCTCTACAACTGATCAAATACTCAGTGCCTTGGCAATCTTCAGAATTGTTGCGCTCTGCATAGGACTCATAAGTACACTGGTACTTGCATTTTCCCCTGATTTGTTCATTACTGAAGGCATGTTAAGACTGATAAATGTTACCTGGATGGTGACCAATCATTTTACCCTTTGGCTGTCTACTAGCCTCAATACCTTTTATTTTCTTAAGATAGCCAATTTTTCTAACTCTACCTTTCTTTACCTACAGTGGAGAGTTAAAAAAGTGGTTTCAAAGATTCTGTTAGTGTCTCTGTTCTTCTTATTTTTAAACATTGCACTGGCAAGCAAACACACGGACGTCTGGAGTGATGCATATAAAAAAAATATATCTTACAACTCCAAACTGAGAGAGTTTGGACACATTTTCAAAACTCTGACATTTATAAATTGTTTATCCACATTTTTACCATTTATTTTGTCAGTGACAAACTTGCTTCTGCTCATTTTCTCTATGTGGAAACACCTTAAGAAAATGCAACATGTTGCCAAAGGCTGTACCAATGCCAGCACCGCAGCTCACATGAAAGCCTTGCAAACTGGATTTGCCTCTCTCCTGTTTAACATTATTTTCTTTCTGGTTCTTATCATACAAATTGCAAGCTTTGAATTCCTGGGTGAGAATTTTGCCATCATGTACGACCAGGTGATTGGAGTTACTTTTCATTCTAGTCACACTTTTGTCCTGATTCTGGGAAACAGTAAGCTGAGACAGGCCTCTCTTTCAGTGTTGAGGTGGCTGAGGTACAGGTCCAAACATACAGAATCCCCAGGTCAGTAGACAATTGAGAATATCAGCGTTCATGTTCCAGCAGAAAGTCAGTTCCTCCAAAATTATATTCTCTAAAATTATGCTTTCCAAGTATTCTCCTTGTTATGGGAGTTTTGGGAATTAAATAAAAGTAGTTTTAGAATGAGCGCTACCCAAATATGTTTCAATCTTTTCACTACACATTACCCCTGTGTAATAATATACTTGACAGACAAAAGTATCAGTACAGACTCTTTAGAAGTAGGAAATAGTTATAGTAAGAGGTGAAATGAATTTTTGATAATTTATTAGTCTTACTGAGATTTTAAAATGTGAAAACTATATAATATACAAGATACCATACAGAGATATGTATATATCTCTGTATAATTTAATATTGTCATTGAAAATAGAACTTTATAATCTTACACACATAAAAACAAGTTTTCAGTGTAGGAGATTTGCCTAAAACATCAAATAAAAACAAAATATAAAACATAAACTATGGGAAATCAAACATATTAAATTAATCTTTTAAACACTCAATTTATGAATTTCAAAAAATTCCTCAGATTCATGAAACTGCCTTATTCTAATTTCCTATCAATATTATTAGCTTAAAATTAAGGATAATTGGAAAATTTTATTATTAGAAATATATAATTCACATTTGGAAGTGCATTGTATTATCCTATTTATTTTTAAGGTTAAAGACCACAGTCCATTTTAATTTTAATACACAAGATTCACAAATTATGGTTATGGTCATCTTTTAATGGACTAACACAGAGGAAAATTGTTTTTCTAATACTTCTTACCATTGTGTCTACTTTACAAAAGTGGAAAACATACAGGGACATAAACTGACAGTAATTTTGGAGTGGCCAATAGATGGTCAACGTAAACTTCCATTATGTTTATATGTTATTCATTTTGATTGTATGGCAGAAATGAAAGGTAAAATTTTTAAAAACTGAATTTATAAAATAGGTGAAAAATATAAAATAAATATGGTCAGGAAGTGAGATCAGATAAGGAAATACGGTCATGTTAAGTATGTTAAATCTTCCTTGTAATACATCTTGTATATTTTTAGAAATGAGGAATTTTACACTCAAGCTTATTTTCACAAATAAATCACTTCAAACTACTGAGATTATGTTTGAAATAGATTTTGTTGGTCTTCCAATGTAGTTCATCCATTTCTTTAATTTGTTTAAGATTATACTGTGAACATCTTTTCTACATTTTTGGAGACATTTTAATGAAAATCACAGCATCTCAACAAAATAGCAGGGCGAAAAAGAGATTATAAAGCTTAAGTGCAGGTAATATGTATATCTCATGCAACTAACACTATGTTCACATCTGTACCTATGCCCTTGGCCCTGCAGGTGGAAACATCTGAAGCTGAGAGAGCATAATGCCAATGGATCCCATGGTGCTAGCTAGCTACATGGTGCCCATGAAACCCTTGCAGACAGGGGTACCTCCAACCTACTATACACCATGTTCATATTTTCTCCTGTGGCACAAGTTGTGAAATTCAAGTTTCTGGAAAAATTTGATTATGTTGTTTGTTCAGGCTACTAGATTGGCTTTGATTCTGGCCACACATGAGTCCTGATTCTGTGAGCCAGTAAACTGAGGCAGGCCAGTTTTATTGTTGAGATGGCTGAGATGCAGGTCCGAAGATGTGTAATCTTTGACTCTACGGAACATTTGGGGAAACACCTTATATGTTCTACAGGAAAATCAGTTCACAAAATATTCTTGAATTTATAAATTCATACTTTCCAAGTGTTTTTCAATGTAACATTTTGAATTCTAGAAAATTAATTTTGGACCATGCACTACTCAAACCTATTGTACCTTTGGCTGTATTTGTGCAATATTATAATCAATATACTTATACAAAAATAAACATTGTATATAACTATACGTATATGCTGAATCTATCGTTCTACATACAAAGTTCAAATTGCAAAAGTTTTTGTTTAATCCTCAGAATTGTGATCTTCCTTTATTCCAATTTCTTATCTCTCTTATTGGTATCAAGTGTAGCAATTCTATAAACATTTTTATCATGGTTAAGAATGTATAATTCACATGTGGAAAGATGTTGTATTCTCCAATATAATGTTTACCATGATGTCACAGTCAGTTTTATTTAATGCATAAGAATGAAAAAATTACAGTATTTTAACTGAATGTCACATTGGAAATGTGTTGTTATTATTCTTTGTGTCATCACATATCCTTATTTAACTTGGGTGGAAAACATCCAGGTTATCACAGAAACAGAAATTTAGATTTACTTATTAATGGCCAGCACATAACTAAGGGGAACTTTTGTCATGTTTTTATGTTATTACTGGTGACTGAATGGCAGAAATGTAAGGCAAAACAATTAACGTAATTTAAAAAATAGATAACATTTTTAGAATAAATTGGTTGAAGAGAGGTAAAGAAGGACGCCCTGTTCCCTGTTCCCATGGTTCCCTGCCTTGTGTTCAGTATTACTGTATCTTTCAAATGATAGAATCATGTAGATTTTTTACAAGTGAAGAATCCTTAATTCAGGCTTATTTTCACAAAGAAATCTATTTAAATTTTTGTGTTTGTGTTTTGTATAGATTTTGTTATTTTCCCAACATAGTACAATCATTCATTTAGAAGTTGAAAAAATAACATTGTGAACATATTTTCTATATGTATTTTGGAAACATTGTAATGAGAAATGGATGCTACAAAATAGGGAGCACCTAGCCAGGTGTGGTGGTGCACACCTGTAATCCCAGCACTTGAGAGACTGAGGCAGTAGGATTGCCATGAGTTTGAGGCCAGCCTGGGCTACATAGTGTGTCCAGGTCAGCCTGAATTACATAGCTAGACACTGTCTCAAAAGGGGGGCGGTCATCTATATAACAGGTAGCCACACAAAAGACAATGTTGTAATATTTATATGGCAATAAATCTTCTTTATTTTTCATAGCTTTTCACTGCTCACAGATAGAAACATAATACTTTTTTCTCCTATCACCCGGTTTTGAAATTCTGTATCATTTTTACTGTTTTTATGTTGCTTTGTTTATGTCTTTGTTTTTGTTACGTTGTTTTCCTTATTTTCCCTTTAAAAGAAAAAAAGAAACATAATACTTTTTATACGAAAAATACTGAGGTTCTGAGATGTTAAAAAGGCATATCCAGCAGTGCATGAATATGCCAGCAGGGAGCTAGAGCAATAATACCCACACGTACAAGCTTTCCCCACATTCAAAAGAACATGAACAAGAACAGGGTCTTCACAGCCGTATCTAAAAACTAGCTAAAAAATATGAAAGAATATGAAATGTGGTTGCTTATATTCCATGTTCACAGCTTTTATTTTTCTGTGATATCCCATACCTGGTTAGTATGCACATGAAAAGTTACAAGTATTGCATTTCTTTGTTGTCTTACTAAACTATCACATATGATCTGTGCTTCAAACTCATTGTCTAGCCTTTTGCAGACAGGAAACCATATCATCTGTATATAAATATGTGTAATGATTATTTCACTTTTTCAATTACTTGCAATTCTCTTTTTTGGTAATTAACTATGTAATAAAATGGTCTGAAGAGTTAAAATGCTAATTATTTGTGGTGATAACTGGTATCTCTGAAGGTGAATTATTTGCAGCTGTTTTGCCAAAATGTATAATAGTGTCTTTTCTTTGCTGTAAATAGTTTTTGAAATCACTTTCTGAGACAACCTCTCTCTTTTATTGTTTTCCAATAAAACTTAAATTAAAAAGCCCCAAATATATCTGCTTATTTAAGGAGATGATTATTTCTATCTTTTCTTACCAATTCAAATAACACATGCTAATAGTAGAACATGAAACAAATACCATCTAAGTCTATGCATTTAAAGAAATATTATAATTTTGAAAATTATTGTATTTTAAGAAATTTGTAATCATCAGAGGCACAGGAAAATTTAGAATGTATTCACACTATAATGACAGTAATATCCAAATGGGAAATAAGTAATCAGAGTCATACGAGAAGTCTTTTTAAAAATCATGTGCTAAAAGAAATCTAACTCATATTGTCAAAGTCCTGAAGAATGTAACTATAACTCTAAAATATGGCTAAAATATGTCCTCAGGGTTCAAGTATTCAATGTTATTTCATACAAAGAGCTGTAGCTATTCTCTACACACCTCCTACTGTAAATAATACCAATGATCTTCCTTCAGAAAAACTGTTATGGACTGAATTGTTTGCTCTGAAAAGGAAGAAATACTCAATGTGGCTATATTTGATGATAGAGGCTTTAAGTATATGATTAAAAGAGATTATAAGAGTCCTAATCTGATAGGAGTTGTATCCTCATAGGAAAAACATTTGTACACAATAAAGTCCATGTGAGCTCTCAGAGGACTGGTCCTGTGAGAAGATGGCCTTTCTATAAGCCAGCAAGAGTGGCCTCACCTGAAACCCACCCTGCCAGGCCCTCCATTGTGGACTTGAACTCTCTAGGACAATAAAGATGAAAATTTTTGTTATTAAATCTATTGAAGTGGTATTTTTATGTGGCAGCCCAAGCACAATAATGGGAAGTCTGAATCTGAGGGAAACACCTACAATGAACAAGTGAAATGTTAAATATGTTGAAAAAAAAGTTGTATTGACTATGTATAAGATGTAAAGTAGTTATAATTTATAATTTAAAGCCAGTGGTTCTTAATAGTCACTCAGTATAAAATTGAATTGCAAATTTGTCAATTTTATGCTACTACAACTTCCTTTCCAAAGCTCGTTAATAAAACACTATGTACGTAGGACATATTGAAAGGCTTCGCAAGTACAAGTGATTTTAAAATATGCAAAAGTTTGTGGATTAAAAATTAGAGCAGAGATATAGTTCAGCGGTGCAAGTGCCTGCCTGGCAAGTGCAAGGTCCTGAGTTCGATTCCTGCTATGAAAAAAAGCAAAAAAAGTGACAGTGATATAAATCAGGCATGATTAGAAAGAGAAGTG